AAGATACCGGAGGAAGGAGATGCCCGCGATCGGTGGATTGAGAAGAGCGCGGTGCTGTACGACCTCATCCTCCAATCGGTCAACAACGACATGTTCCAGCACATCAAGGATTTGGTGGAGCTCGATGACTCAGGACCGAAGGCGTGGAAGCTGCTACGCGACGTGATTCAGCCCAACACGCTGCCCATGGTGATTGTGCTCGAGAAGGAGTTGGCAGCCATCTCCATGCGATCGGGAGATGATGTGAAGCCGGTCCTTGACAAGATCAAAGACACCTATGCAAGGATGGCAGCAGCGGGCTGCGAGGTGTCGCAGATGCAGCAGTGCACCAAAATCATCTCGGTGCTCGACAACTCATGGGACAACCTCATCCCCACCCTCAACGTTCAGCAGGACAAGTGGGCGCCTGAGTGGCTACGGCAGCAGATCCTGCAGGAGGACTTCCGCAGGCGCCACACGGGAGGTGGTGCTGCCAACAAAACTGCTGAGGGGTATGGAGCTGTAGGAGGCAGCAGGGGAAGAGGGGGTGGGAGAGGCCGAGGCCGTGGGAGAGGTTTTGGCAGAGGGAGAGGTCGAGGTGACTACAATGAGGGGCATGGGAGCTCTAATGGCAGGGGGAGCACCCGAATGGAGGGTGCGTGCTGGTACTGCAAGAAGGCTGGACACCCGTGGTTCAAATGTTTCAGCCGGCCTGAGGGATGGGCGCCCCTAGGCATGAAGCTGCCAAGCGGTGAACGTGCACGAGGTGGCGCTGTGCAAGGTTCAGGTGCACAAGGTGATGGTGCACAAGGTAAAGCTGACCCTGGGATGTTCCTCATGGTTGAGGATGTGAAAGGGAGTGAGGGTGATGTGGGTTTTGTTGGGAAGGTTGTGATGCACCCCCTCACTCACTAGGTGATCGATTCAGGTTGCACAAGTCACATGACCCCGCGGGCAGATTTGCTTGATGAGGTGAAGCCCCCTGGAAAGATCAAGTTTGTGGCTGCCGCTTCAGGTGCTTTGCTCCCTGTGATTGGTGTGGTGAATGCCAAGGTGATGGGAGCCAATGGGGAGCTTGTGGGGCTTGGGAATGTGCTGTTGGTTGAAGGTTTGACCGCTAACCTTCTTTCTGTGCGCCGGCTGCAGAAGAGCAAGGCTGAAGTTACCTTCGGCCCAACCAGCTGCCGTGCAAAGCTTGGGAAGTTGCTGCTGTGGGATTTGGAGAAGAAGAGTAGCTGCATCAAGGACCTGCGGCAGCTGCCCATCATCCCTTGGAGGGATTGGAGGTGAAGGGGGGAGCAAAGGAGATTGGGAGCTGCCCTACCTGCCTTGAGACCAAATTCACGAAGTTTCCCTTCAGCAGCAGCACGGGACCAGCCAAGGCACCGCTCTCGCTTGTGCACATGGATGTGGTGGGCCCCACGAGGGCCCTTTCTCTCTCGGGCAGCCGCTACTTCTTGACCATTGTGGACGACCACACGCGTGCGGTGTGGGTCTACCCTCTGAAGACTAAGGGGGAGGTGGCAGCGGCTCTTCTTAAGGATTGGATGCCGAGAGCTCAAAGGTTGAGCGGACACAAGGTGAAGGTGATCCGCACCGACAATGGGGGAGAGTTCATTGGTGCTGTTTTTGAGGCGGTGCTGAAGAAGAAGGGAATTCAGCATCAGCTCACAGTGCCCTACAACCCTCAGCAGAACGGCGTGGCTGAGCGGTTCAACCGGACCCTGCAGGAAGGTGCTCGTACTCTTCTTGGGCGTGCAGGGCTGCCGGATCCGTTTTGGGTGACTGCACTGCGGCAGGTCGCCCTTGTGAAGAACAGGGTGCTGGCGACTGTGGGGGACAAGCAGTGGGTCCCCTATACCAAGTGGTATGTGAGTGCACCAGCGGTGAACATGCTGAGAGCCTACGGGTGCATGGTGGTGTTTCATGTACCGATGGAGAAGAGGGGAAAGCTGGAAGCTTCTGGGAGATGGGGTGTGCACTTGGGGCTTGCTAAGGATCACAAGGGCTGGCTGATTTGGGACTTGACCAGCCAGCAGCTGACTGTGTCAAGGGATGTGAAGTTCCTTGAGTCCTTGTACTACAAGGAGTGGAAGCAGCAGCAGCAGAAGCTTCCTACGACACCGCTAATTGTCGAGGCCGATGAGGTGCAGCGGCCTTCAAGGCAAGTGGAGGTTTCTGTCTCTGAGAATGAGATCTCTGGGGTGACTGAGGATGGGGGAGAACCTGAGGTCGAGGAGCAGCAGCAGCAGCAGCAACAGCAGCCGCAGCAGCAGCAGTAAGGTGCTCCACAAGGTGCCGCACGTCCGGCTGAGCGTCCAAGGAGGGAAGTGCGCCCTCCTAACCGGCTGAGCTATCCAAGCTTTGGCAAGCCAAGTGTGGTACGGGTTGGGAGTGTGGCTGAGCAGTGTGGTGAGGATGAGATGGCACACTGCTACTGGGCAGCCGTCCCTGAGCCCAAGACACTAGCTGAGGCATTGAGCGGGCCCGATGCTGAGAAGTGGAAGCAGAGTGTGAAGGAGGAGTATGACTCTCTGCTGGAGAACGAGACGTGGGAGCTGTGTGAGCTGCCTCCAGGGAAGAAGGCCATTTCTTCCAAGCTGATCTTTAGGCATAAGTACGGACCCGATGGGGAGCTGACCCGCTACAAGTCAAGGCTTGTGGCTAAGGGGTTTCAGCAGACAAAGGGGAAGGATTTTGACGAGATTTTTTCTCCTGTGGGGAAAGGCATAACACTGAAAGTGTCACTAGCAATGGCTGCAAACCGTGGATGGCGGGTGAAGCAGATGGACATTACCACCGCCTTCCTCAATGGGATAATTCTGGAGGAGCTGTACATGTTACAGCCTGAGGGGTTTGATGATGGGAGCGGCAGGGTGTGCAGGCTGAAGAAAGCCATCTATGGCTTGAAGTAGGCTCCTCGTGCATGGTACCACAAGCTGGAGGAGACACTGCTGGCTGGGGGTTTCAAGAAGAGTGAGTGTGATCACATCTTGTTCCTGCTGCAAGAGAAGGAGCAGTTTCTCATGCTCCTGGTGTATGTGGACGACATCCTCCTCTTCTCTGAGTCGTGTGCAATGATTGAGCGTGTGGAGGAGATGCTGGAGATGCAGTTTAAGTGCTCCAAGATGGGAGATGTGAAGTACTACCTTGGGATGCATGTGGAGAGGGACCTTGACAAGGGAGTGTTGAGGTTGCACCAGAGAAAGTATTGTGAGGGGCTGGCTGAGAAGTATGGGCTGCAAGATGGAGGAAAGCCAGCCACCCCACTGTCTTCGAGGTTCACTGTGGAGCCCTGTGCTGATGAGGTGAACAGGAAGCTGTTTCATTCCATGGTGGGGGCACTCAACTATGCGGCTAACCACACGCGGCCTGACATTGCCTTTGCTACATCTAGGCTTGCGAATGTGGTTTCACGCCCCAGTCATGAGCAGCTGGAAGCGGCCAAGAGGTTGGTCCGCTATGTGAGCGCTACAGCGTCTGTGGGTCTGGAGTACAGTGCTGTGCGACAAAGGCTGCAGAGGGGTGCAGCTGATTTGGCCAAGGGGGAGATGCTCCTAACTTGCTACACCGACGCCAGTTTCAACTCTGTGAAGGCGGATGGCACCAGCATTGGAGGTTATGTGTGCCTGTTTGAAGGTGGTGCAGTGAGCTGGCGCAGCAAGAAGCAGAATGAGGTGGGGCAGTCCTCGTGTGAGACAAAGTACATGGCCCTGCATCATGGGGCAAATGAGGTGGTGTGGCAGAGGCGTTTGTTGGAGGAGATCGGAGTGTGCCAGAGGGAGCCTAGTGTGATATTCCGTGACAATGAATCTGCAGTGAAGTTAGCCAAGAACGCTTGTCTTCATGGGCTGACCAAACACATCAGGCCTAAGTGGCATTGGGTGAGGAGGCTCCTGGACAAGGAGGTGCGGCTGGAGATTGTGAAGACCCATCAGCAGGTGGCTGACATTCTCACCAAGCGCCTGGCTGAATCTGAGCATTGGAAGGGCATGAAGCTTGCTGGGATGAGTGTGCATTGAGGGTGCATGCTTGAGCTATGGCATGTGGGATGATGGTTGGCAGCCAGAGGGGGAGTTTGTTATGTGATGCTATCATTTGCATTCACGTCTGTCTGCCTCCCATCATGTGTTCGTGCGTTGCATGCGTGAAATGAGCGTGCGCAAGAATTTGTGTTTTCTGTGGTTTGGGTTTTTGGAGTGTGTGTGAATGCTATTTGGCTTGAGCAGATATCTGAAGTGACTCCACTGCTCAAGATCTTTCCAACAAGCCAAGGATTGCTTCAATCGGAGCACGAACAAGAAAGTTATGAACTTTCGAAGTTCGTATGCTTTTCATATTTGATTGTGGCAACTGTGGGAAGTTGTGGGGTTGACTCCATATGGGGTACAGACTTTTGGGGGTTGGGAAATTCGAACCCATCACTGTAGATGCTGCAATGTGGTTGGGAGGTTGGCAAGTGTGGCCAAGTTGGAGTGAGGTGGATTATGGAGGTTGGGATAGAGACAAAGGTCAAAGTTGGGTTGCCTATGAGGAAGGGAATTGTGTGGCATGGAGTTTCCTTGGTTGGGGACTCCTTGGGGACCTTCCCTCTCGTCCTCCTCTTCCCTCCTACCTGGTTTAGTGCTACTCTAACTTTCTTGTGTAGCAATCTTGAGAATTGTGAGAACTCTTGTGATTGAGTTAAGTTCTTATGGCAGCATACCCCCCTATGCGCCGAGGGAAAGACAGCAGCTACTCAGACAGGATCCAGCAGAGTCTCCCGTCCATCCAGCGCAGGACGGATGCGGCTACTGACACGAGGCCGAGTGGGGCCCCCCGGACAGACTCGGCAAGTTGCAGCAAAGGCCGGGGGCCGGGCTCGAGCGCAGCATCAGGGGAGCCGGGCACGTAGCCAATCAAGGGGAGGAAATGCTGCAGCTCCCCCGCTGCTAACTCAGCCGCCGCCCGTTCGGTTGGCGACAAGCCCTCGATCTAAAGACCCTATCGGGACAGGCACAAATGAAGCTGATCAAGCACGTATGACAGGAGAGTCAGACAAGTCCCCACGTTCATTGCGCGCTCAGCGACGCCATCAGGGAGGCTCCCGTCAGCAGGACTCCACCCCGCCCCAGGAAGCACAGCCTGTGGAGCCGGCGGCGCTGGAGAGGTCAGCAGTCCCCATGGGATTGGCACCTCCTGCCCGCCAACGAAGAGCCGAGGGTACGAGCCTGCGCTCAGCCCGGCCTGAGAAGGGGAGGAGGAGCGAGTGGGAGGAGACGATGGGACCGGAGCGGACGGAGGAAGAGGCTGCTGCTACAGTGGAGGCTGGAACCGGCGCTGAGGTTGCGGCGGAGACGGTGGAGGCCGCGACGGCTGGTGCTGTGGCTGTGGCGGTGCCCGAGGCGGTTGTGAATACGGGGCCTGAGGCTGCGATTGGTGGGACAACTGGCGCAGCTGCTGCTGCTGGCGTGCCTGCCGCTGCCTCTGACGACGGCTCCGTTTCACATTCTGCCACCCCTCATACTGGGCCACTGTCTCCCGAAGAGCGGGAGCCGCCGGCGGAGGAGGGGCGGGCAGGGGAGGGGGAGCTGGCTGCGTCCCCGGAGCCGATGGGGCCGGCCGTGATTGCTGCGGTCGTGACTGCCGTGGAGAGACGGGATGGCCAGCCGAACGGCGAGGAGCGTACGGCTGCCTCTGAGTTCGCCGGAACTTCTGTTGCTGACGAGGGCGCAGACATGCAGGGGCACGGCCAGGCGGCGGGCGATAGTCAGGGGCCCGTGAACGGCGCTCCTTCCGGCGTCTCAAAAGCGAAGCCGAAGAGGAAGCTGCAGGTACAGCCAGCGCCGAGACGGCCCGGAGCAGGCCTGGGACCCGGCGCCCCGGGACCCCTCCTGGGCTGGCTTCTGCAAGGGCAGCCGCCACGAGAGTCAGAGCATTGGGGGGCATCTCAGGGCGCGCCCGCACTGTCCGCCGCCACGCAAACGGCTTCGCATGCGCCAACGACAAGGGCGCCGAACTTGGGGGGAGGTGAAGGAGTGGCACAAGCTGCAGTGGTGGCACCAACAGGAGCAGGTGGGGACAATACGGTGGCAGCAGTAGGCACCAAACGCTCAGCGAGACTTGGGGCGATCACGTGGGTGCCGGCGGGCCGTGGCAACGGCGTGGTGGAAACGGCGGGAGCAGCAGGAAGGGGACAACGCGGGGTTTTACGCGGGGGGACGAGAGGCGGAAGGGGAGGGCGCATTCAAGCGCCTAGGGCGGAGATACCAGTGAGAACCGGCCCCTGGCAAGAGCGCCACGATAGGCCAGAGAGAGTGCTCCTGCAGGCGGAGGGGGAACAGGAGGCTACTGACAACCAGGGAGCCGACCCTGCCGGGGAGGAAGAAACCTCAGAGGAGATCTCTGTGGACGATGAGACCACACCCAGGAGAAACAACCCAGAAACCCGGGCAAGGGAGGTGGCGGCGGGCATCCCAAGTAACACAGGGGAACCTGTAGCTACTGCCACGGAGGAGACCGACGTGCCCTCTCCAGCTGAGCTGGCACGCGACGATGCCATCTGGAACCTGGCAGGGGAGTGGAATGTGGACGTGCTTCAGAGGGGGGACCAGCCATTCCTCGTCCGCCGGCTGCCACCACAAATCCTAGACAGATACTGTCTGTGCATGCTGGCGACGCTTATCCGCCTCGATACACACCCGAGCTGCCTGGGTGGCTGGAAAGCGCTGCTGTTCCTGCCGAGGCTCACTCTTAGGCCAGCACCCGAACCTGTTCTGGGGAGTCGCTGGGCAGGGATTGAAACACGGCTGCACAAGTTTCAACGAGGCGACTGGGCCGAGCTTTTCGAGGAGGCAGGGGTTATCCCCGACACAGGCAACCCGGTACGACACCAGGCAGATGTGGAGGGGATTTGTGCATGGGCGGAAGGTTTAGTGAAAAAAGGAAACATTGCGAAGGCGGTGGCGGCGCTGCGAACAAGCCCTATGGCAGAGGCAACACTGGCTACACTCGAAGCTCTGCAATCGAAACACCCTACAGCGGGGAGCCCAATACCGGCCTGGGTTACCGGAATCACAGACTCCGAACTCACGGTCCCGCTGGATTCGCTTCGTGAAATCCTAGCGAAATGCCCGAACGGGGTGGGGGCTGGACCGTCCAGCACTTGTTTCGAGCACCTCAGAGACCCAACCCTGGCCAATGAAGAACTGCTGCTGCTTTTCGCCAAGGTCGTCAATCGTCTGCTCAGCACCTATCAAGCCTCCCATGTTCGAACACTCCTCTTGCCTTCTCGTCTGATCGCTCTAGAGAAACCGAATGGTGGCGTGCGACCTATAGCGATAGGCGAAACGCTGCTCCGCGTAGTAGCAAAGGCTGTCAGAACATTATAGCTTATGCTGTTGTGTAGGCTATAGTGGGGTATTCCATAGGGGGTACAACCCAATTAGGGTTAGTACTTGTACTCACTCATTTCATAGTTCATTCATTCTCGTTCTACTTTTCTCATGGTATCGAGCAGGTTCCCTCGTGGGAACTGTGCCTAGGGCCCACCATATCGAGACATATTTTTTCCTGCCCGAAGCGCGCTCCCCCGAGTCGCGCCTCGGGCTGTCACCTCGTCGAGCCGTCCTAGCGGCCCTCCCTCCCTTAGCGGCCCCGCCGCCCGTTCGTGCGGCCCCACGGACCGCGTTCTCGGCCCCGCCGCCCTACATCGCGACCCCGCCACCCTACTCACGCGGCCCCGCCGCCCTACGTTGCGGCCCCGCCGCCCTACGTCGCGGCCCCGCCGCCCTACGTCGCGGCCCCGCCGCCCTACTCCTGCGGCCCCGCCGCCCTACGTCGCGGCCCCGCCACCCTTCTCGACGGCCCTGCCGCCCTACGTCACGGCCCTGCCGCCCTTCGCGACGGCCCCCGCCGCCCTACTTCTCGACGGCCCCGCCGCCCTACGTCGCGGCCCCGCCGCCCTACTCACGCGGCCCCGCCGCCCTAAGTTGCGGCCCCGCCGCCCTAAGTCGCGGCCCCGCCGCCCTACTCACGCGGCCCTACCGCCCTACGTCGCGACCCCGCCGCCCTACTTCTCGCGGCCCCGCCGCCCTACTAAGTCGCGGCCCCACCGCCTTTCTTGACGGCCCCGCCGCCCTACTTTGCGGCCCCGCCGCTCTCTCTCGCGGCCCCACCGTCCGACTACTGCGGCCCCGCCGCCCTCTTCAGCGGACCCGCCGCCTCCTACTTCTTCCGCGTCGCCCTACAGCAGCACTACCGAGCGCACTTTAGCTCTGACCTTGTACGACGCGGTAGTCGCGCGCTACTCCTCCCCTTCCACTGCGGCACTAAGCCGTCTCATGCTACCGTACCTCTTCCCTGACCTTGCTGCCTTTCCCACCGTCGCTGATCTCATTACGCACATCCGCACTAGTGACACTCGCTACCGCGCTGCACTTCCTGCTAACTTCTGCGCCACGACCCCCCCCCCCCCCCCCCCATCTACATCACTCTGTACTTCCTAGTCACTCGCCTCTTTGACTCCCTTCGAGTAGTCAGGGACCACTTTCTCTCAGTCTATCCCACCACACTCACTGTAGACCTCCTCGAGAAGGCCCTCCTCGCGATGGAGAAGAGCATAGTTGCTGTAGGAGCCTCTCGAGGTGACCCGCGCACCCCCATCATTGAGGGGTGTTCTCCCTCCCCCCTGCTGCCCTCTGTCGCCTCTGCTGCTGCGGCCGACCTCCTTGGTCTGGAGTTGGTCGGTGCGGCGTCTGCCCCTAGCGGGAGACGCCGCTCTGGCAAGGGCAAGGGGGGCAAGGGAGCTGGAGGAGTGGGCGGTGGAGGTGAAGGTGGAGGCGGTTGGGGGAGTGGGGGTGGCGGTGGGAGTGGAGGTGGGGGTGGGGGGGTCGGTGGCGGCACTGGAGGCGGAGAAGCCGGCAGCGGTGGCGGTGGGAGCGGAGGTGGCGGAGGAGGCAGTGGTGGTGGCGGCGGCGGAGGTGGCGGCGGCGGTGGAGGGAGCGGAGGCGGTGGAGGCGGTGGGGGTGGCGGTGGAGCTGGTCGCGGGTCTTTGCAGAGGAGTGGCTCCGGTGGTGGCTCGCGCCAGCAGCAGCAGCGCGGTCGTGCGAACCTGTCCCCTCAGCAACTCCGTGAGTGGTACACTGCACGCCAGCGGGGTGGGGGTTCTGGTCCATGCACCTACGTCCTGCGCACCAGTGACCGTGCGGGTGAGCAGTGTGGGGGTGCGCACCCCACCCAGCGCTGCTTTGGCCGCCTGACGGACGCGTGGCGTCACCAGTTCCCGGAGGCCTCAGAGATCCCTCGTTGGGACGAGCTGTCTAGGGCGGGTGTTGCCATCTTTGATCTTGACTTTGATGCTATTCTATCTGCCATGTATGCTGTGTCTCATAGTGATGAGGGTGACTGTTACGGGTGTTTCCCGCCCGATCCGAGCATCGAGACTGCTGCTCCAGGTACTGGTGCGGCTGCTGCCCTAGGTGCTTGCGACGCTGCTGCTCTAGGTGCTGGTGTGTCTGCGTCCTCAGGTACTGGTGAGTCTGCGCTCTCAGGTACTCCGTCGGCTTCGGCCTCCCTCACCTTCACCCTTGACTCTGGGGCGACTCGCTCCTTCTTTCGGGACCGCACCACACTCACGCCGCTTAGTCGGCCGGTTGCGGTGTCCTTGGCTGACCCCTCTGGGGGTCCTGTCCTGTCTCGCTTCTCCACAGTCCTACCGTGTCCGGCGGCTCCTTCTTGCACCCTGTCTGGTCTCTAACTCCCCTCGTTCTCGACGAACCTGGTGAGTGGTGCTGACCTACAGGATGCAGGTGTCCACCAGTTCACTCCTGCCCGTCGGCGAGTGACCCACTATACAGAGGCTGGCACAGGCCGACACCTGGCTACATTCACCCGTCAGCCGGGGTCAAGCTTCTACACTCTGACCACTGCGTGTCCTCGAGTTGCTGAGTCTGGTAGGGTGGCTGCGTTGGGTCAGGTGTTTGCTGCGTGTCCAGGTCTGGTCTTGAGTCTGCCCCCTGTTCGTGTCGTCTCTTGTCTCACGAGACTCTCCTCTGGCAGCACCGCCTTGGCCACCCCTCTCTGCTTCAGCTCAGAGGCATGGCCTCCCGTCTTCTTGTGTCTGGTCCCCCCCGGTCCCTCCCTCCCCTTCCTCAGGGCCCTGGCCCTGCCTGTGTCCCCTGTGTCGAGGGGCGCCAGCGTGCTGCCCCTCACTCCTCCCAGTTTCCTCCGACGGAGGCCCCGTTGCAGACACTTCACATGGACGTGTGGGGCCCAGCCCGCGTCCGTGGACAGGGTCACGAGCGCTACTTCCTGCTCGTTGTTGACGACTTCTCGCGTTACACCACAATCTTCCCCTTGCGCAGCAAGGGTGATGTCACTGGGGTGCTGATCGATTGGATCCGCGCAGCTCGTCTCCAGCTGAGGCGGAGCTTTGGCTCGGACTTTCCTGTTCTGCGTCTACACTCGGACAGAGGCGGAGAGTTCTCCTCTGGCCTTCTGCGAGCCTACTGTCGTGCACGAGGCATCCGTCAGACCTTCACGCTTCCGGACTCACCGCAGAAAAATGGGATTGCTGAGCGCCGCATTGGCATGGTCATTGACGTCGCTCGTACGTCCATGATGCATGCGGCTGCCCCCCATTTTCTGTGGCCATTTGCGGTGAGGTACGCGGCGCATCAGATCAACCTCCACCCCAGGGTCTCCAGGCCGGAGACCTCCCCAGCCTTGCTGTGGACGGGGAAGGTTGGCGATGCGTCGGCGTTCCGGGTCTGGGGATCACAGGCGTTTGTCCGCGACTTGTCTGCGGACAAGCTATCCCTTCGTGCTGCTCCTTGCGTCTTCTTGGGGTTCCCCCCTGACGCGCCTGGGTGGCAGTTCTTCCACCCCACCTCTCGACGTGTTCTGTCCTCCCAGGACGTCACGTTTGACGAGTCGGTCCCCTACTACCGCCTCTTCCCCTACCGCACTCCGTCCCTCCCCCCACCCCCACTCTTCCTGGTACCAGGTCCCCCTCAGGTCGACCCCCTCCCCCCTCAGGGACCTGCCCCTTCAAGTGTGTCCCAGGTATAAGCATTCGAACCTGACTCCGGTGCTGCTGAGGGTGCTAAGGCTAGGGGTGCGGAGCCTGGGGGTGCGGAGCCTGGGGGTGCTGAGCCTGGGGGTGCTACGCCTGGGGGTGCTACGTCTGGGGTCGCTGAGCCTGGGGGTGCTTCGTTTGGGGGTGCTGAGCCTGGGGGTACTGAGCCTGGGGGTGCTACGCCTGGGGGTGCTGAGCCTAGGGGTGCTGAGCCTGGGGTTTCTACGCTGGGGGGTGCTGAGCCTGGGGGTGCTCCGCCTGGAGGTTCTCCAGGTGCTTCGTCTCGCCGTGAGCCATTCTCTCCACACGAGCTGCGCGAGTGGTTTTCCCGGCGCTGGCGTCGTGCTGCTGGCGCTGGAGGTTCTTCGGCTACTGAGGGTGCTGCGGTCGCGGGTCCCGGAGGTGCTCGTACTGGGAGTACTGGAGCTGCTGGACCTTCGAGTTTGACTGGACCTGGTGCTGCTGAGGGTGTTGGCGCTGCGACTACCGCTGGCGGTGCTCCTGGTGCTGCTGGAGGCTTCTGGCGTCGCCACGCGGCCTCTACCGTACTTTGTTCCACTCCTGCAGCAGGTTCTTGGTCTTCCGCCTTCTACTGGTCCTTCTCCTCCCTTAGAGGGTCCACTACCTGTCCCGTCACAGTCACAGCTGTCAACGGGAGTTGTGTGTTGGCCCCGTCCACGCTTGGGCGGAGCCGACTTCGTGGTGGGGTGTACGGAAGGTACAGCCGACTTGCAGCAGTGGGCGACGCCGACTTGGACGAGCTGGTCGACGGGGTTGGTCGACTTGCACGGCGCCACTGCAATACCGCCGACTTGGGAAGCCAGTGGCCGACTTCAACTGGTGGTCGGCGATGTGGCACGTCGACCTGGAAGTCGGCGCCGACTTGCAAGGTCACCGACTTGCAAGGTCACCGACTTGCAAGGTCACCGACTTGCAAGGTCACCGACTTGGGAGGTCACCGACTTGCAAGGTCACCGACTTGCAAGGTCACCGACTTTGCAAGTCGGCGCCGACTTGCAAGGTCGCCGACTTGGGAGGTCGCCAACTTCAAGAGGTCAGTCTGGAAGTCGGCGCCGACGTAGAAGGGGCGTCGACCTGGTGACGCCGACTTGGGTAGCTGACAACTGCACTGGTCGACCAGGAGTGACGTCGACCTGGATCTGGTCGACCGGAGGAGTGGTCGACCTGGTGAGGTCGACCTGGTGTGGTTGTCGACTTGGGAGGTCGACGAGCACATACAGGAGCAGCTGGTCGACATAGT